TAGCAATGCAGAAAGTATAATCCCTTCACTGGGGAGTCAGAGACAGGTAGATCCTTGGAGCTTCCTGAATAGCCACCCTAGCAGAATCCTTGAGATCCAGGTTCAATGAGAAACTCTGTCTCAAAAAAATAATGTGGAAAGCAATTGAAGCAGAAACTTAGCATCAATCTCCGGCTTCTAAAATACCTGCACAGACGTGCTTGAGCACAACTATATGCACACATGCAAACACACACACACACACACACACACACACACACACACGAGAGAGAGAGAGAGAGAGAGAGAGAGAGAGAGAGAGAGAGAAAGTTTTGTCACAGCTTTTCCACTCATGGCTTTCAGAATACAGGACTCTCATCACTTAAAAAGTGATCTAAGGATATTGATTCTAGAAAAAATGTCATTATCTTTCTTCTCTGTAGAAAACTCTTAAGTATATTGAAGTCTCTCATAAAAACCATGACATACTGAATGGAAGTGGCTTATTTATTGGTTATACTTCATCTTCATATATTAAAACATATTCCTTAAAATACATGTGTAATTAGACTCATAATACAGACATTGCACTATTATTTTGTTTTAAATTTATTTACCTAGGATTGGATGAAGATGGAAAGTGTGATCTATTCAAGGATAGTCATTTTATAAATGGAAAGAAAAGCTCTCCAGATCATCAGTTTACACCAAAATACATGAAAGAAAATCACCACAGTCGTTTCCCCTCACCCAAATGACATGGGAGATAATCCAGAAAGTGTTCAGTAACAATGCAAATTCACTTCAATGTTTACTTTTTGGATTTCAATCATTTGAAAAATTTTACAATTACTTTTAGAATTGAATGGTAAATATGAAGCTAAGTGAGCAAGCAGCAGAATAAGGTTCAGTTTGGGCTAAAATATGTTTCACAATATGTCTATATGTTGAGCTGCCACTGGAGGCCAGAGGCCTTTAATACAGAAACATCTGGCAAGTGAATGAAATAAGCATACCCATAAAGGGACATACTTCTAATTTCTGAACTTGTGCTTTTGTATGTGAATTTTTTTTTTTGTCTTTTTTGAGACAGGGTCTCCTTGTACCCCCAGGCGTCCTGGAACTCACTATGTAGACCAGGCTGGCCTCAAACTCACAAAGATCTGCCTGCCTCTGCCTCCCAAGTGCTGAGATTAAAGGCATGTGCCACCACGCCTGGCATGAATTTTTTTATAAAATCTTTTTTATAATTTATTTTTATTTCATGTGTATGAGTGTTTTGCCTGAATGTGTGTAAGTTTACATATGTTGTGCAATGCCCATGGAGATCAGAAAAGGGCATTGGATCCCCTGGAACTGTAGTTAAGGACAGTTGTTAGTTGCAATGTGAGTGCTGGGAATTGATCCCACGTCCTCTGCAAGAGCAGCCAGTGCTCTTAACCACAGAGCCATCTCTCCAGCCCCTTATATGTGAAATTTTAATATATGAACTGTGATGCAATACCAAATTCACATACTTAAAAACAGGAGTCATTTTGAAAGAAGATTAGGATAAAATGGAGATATCAAATAATCATAAATCAATAAGAACCCAAATGAATGTAAGGTTGCCATGGGACGAAGAAAGATAAGAAATTGTTAAATCCATTCTGAAAGATTATATTTGATTTAGCATTTGGGAGACTCTTTTTTTTTTTTTTTTTTTTTTTTTTTTTTTTTTTAAAAAAAAAAAAAAAAAAAGAGGACGATAAATCTTTCACTGTGATATATCAAAAAGATCTGCCTGTCTCTGCCTCCCAATGCTGGGATTAAAGGCATGCACCACCATGCCTGGCTACTGGGATAATTTTTTTAAGATATTTTTATTTATCACCTTTATTTTATGTGTATGAGTGTATTGCCTACATGTAGGTAGGTGCACCCCTGTAATGCAATGCCCAGGAAGGTCAGAAGAGAGCATCAGATCCCCTGGAACTGGAACTATAGATGGTTGTTAGCTGCCACGTGAGTGCTGGGAATTGATTCCAAGTCCTCTACAAGAGCAGACAGTGCTCTTAACCACAGAGCCACCTCTCACTTCCTTGGATACTCTTCGTATGATATGGACAATACTTGATGGTTTGATGAGATTGCATAAAATGTATGTGCTTTTAAGGATTTATTTCACTTCAAATTTTTTTTACTCTCAGGTTCTTTCTTTCAACTTCCCTTGATTACCCAATTTTCCCTGAGGAGTTATTGAAATGAGAGGGAAAACAGGCCTAGCAAAATTCTTGGATCACATCCAGAAAATATTTTTAGACTTTGGAATATATGGAAGATGGTGCTGCCGGCCTTACACATACAGCTTAGGAAAATATGCAGCATCCTTACCATATTCATTCTGGGTACCAAAGTACTACATTACTAATAAGGAAAGTATTGCAGAGCACAACAAAACATTCTGATACCATGAGCCTCTCCCCTTATGCTTTATTTTTGCCCATGAGCTAGAGACATCATAGAATAGAATAGTTAAGTCTGGTTTAATAGCCATCACTGAAAGACTGTAGGCTTCCAAAGCCTAGAAAACAAAGCTATGCCTGGAATGTCCAGAAGGATCTTTGTATTTCTCCAGTATGCAAAAATTACAGAATTAGCCAATAGAGTCATTTGAGGGTAACATTGCATAGTACTTAAGGTTCCAAGATTTCCTGCTGTTTACTTAAATCACAATCAGGAAGGCAAGCGAAAAGTTCCATACAGGGTTATTAAAGAGGATAGTCACAATGACATTTACAATCCTGGAAGTTTGCTGAAGACCTATGAGGTTGATAAAAATGGGCATAATGGCAGCTTTCAGGATGGCTAACCCTAACTCACAGATGGAAGGATGAAAAATTCTTCCTCTGTAACCCACGAGGTGCGGAACTTGAACCACTCTCACTGCTTCCTAATATAAAACAAATTTAAATGTTCCTGTTACACTGCAAGGGCTAAAATGAAGCTAAATGGGTTTGTTAAACTTCTATTAACCACAACTGAAGTGAGGAGATTCCAAATTGGAGCTTTTTCTCTCCTGATGCCCTACAAGTTTGTAATTTCTTTCATCTATGGAGGTAACCACAGCCATCACAAAACACACACAGGACAGTGGGAGCATTCCATATTTTAGAATAATTCTGAAATTACAAGGTATCTGTCATATGCACTATAGACTGGTAATCTGCCTCTTTTAAATATCTATGGATTCTCATGCTAGGCAGCATTTATATAAATCTGTAAACAGGGGATGGAAAAATGCCTCAAAAGTGAAGAGCACTGTTTGGTTTTGTAGAAGACCCAGGTTCAAATCTCAACACCCACATTTTGGCCAACAACCTTCCATAACTGCCATTCCAGGGGTTCCAATGCCTTCTTTTGCCCTCTGTGGGCAATACACGACATGGGTGTACTTACATGCAGGCATAATACTCATACACATAAAATAAAAACATAATAAATAACTAAAATTTTAAAAGAAATATGTAAACAAAGACATTTTAAATGTTTCATAACATTCCAAGAAAAGCATTCTGAAAGTCATATTATATATATGATAAATATTATTACATCATATATATTATATATGTATGATAAATATTGTTAATGTGTATGTGTATGTATTCATAATCATATATGCAATATTTGCATGTTTGTATATTTTGAAAAGTGTTGTGCATACTTTGTGGACATTAAGAAATGCATAGAATGCAAGATAGTCCCACTTTTAATGCTACCTATTCTTGAAGATCTTAAGCATATTTTTCAAAGATCTCTAGGATTAGATTTGAGAAGTAACATTTTCTTGAAAGACAGAAAACACAGGCTTCTCCAAGAATGATCTTCAAGAGCAAGTCTTGGAAAGTGAGCCTTGATTTCCCTGTACAGCTTGACAGATTACTTTATGTTCCTCTAATGCTGTCAGGTGAAGCTGTTGTGTCACTCAAAAGCAGGATTTATGCTAAGTGATTCCTTGAATTTCAGGGTAAGAAGATCATACTTCCTCATTTAAAAAAAATCAAAGATGGATTTTTTGTGATTGTTTTTGAAATGAGTTCTTGTTATGTCATAATTCGTAGAATGTATCTCCCCAGCTTTACAAGAACGTCTGATTAGTTTTCTGCCCACGGCCTTAGGAACAGTCAATGACTTTGTGTGCCTCTGTGTATTTAACTCTTTCAGGAAGTTGATTTTGTTGTGTTTTTAAATATTAAGTGCAAATGTCAATGTGCTTAAGCTTTTATTTATTTTTTCTTAGTAAAGACATGTCAGGACTTAGGATTGAATAAATTGAATAAAAGCATTAAGTCTGATATTTAACCAAAAATGAAAACTTTTCTGTTTTAATATATTGATCATGTGCTTCCACTTCATTAAACACTCTTAAAATAAAGGAACAACTGATACTATTTTAGACTTTTGAAACATGTCAACTTGTCCAGTTCAAGGGCCAGTACCAGAAAATCATGTTTTTCTGATGTATTGTTTTGTTAATTTTCTCTTTAAGACTCAAATTCAAGGATTCCTCTGGAGACTGGGTTTACTATAATATAGCTTAACATTAAATGTTGCTATGCCTTATTTCTAATGAATGCTTCATCTTTCTGCCATGCAAAATTTCAAGTAATTACTTGAATACATTTTTCTCATGTTTTATTCAGTACTTACAAGCTACATGTTAAATTTGGCTATCGTTTATTGATTTGCCTCTGTTGTTGCACCATATTATGCTTTGAATCCTAGTTGCTGCTATATCTGAATATTCGTTTGTCATCCCTAATAATTTTCCATCTACTGTATGAACAAGCATAACTTCCCTGACAAATTACATTGAACATAACATTTTCTTAGGTATTTTTGCACAATTTAAATATTGACCTTCTTTGTCCCTCTCCTTAGAGAGTTAAGTCATGTTTGTAAACTGTTCACGTAAGAATTGAGTCTGCCAACATTTTTCACTGCCCTATGAGATTTACGTATTGATCTGGTCATGCCCCCATGAAAACTGTCCACAAATACAGAGGTGTTCTCTGTTTAGTCTCTCAATTTATACACAGCTCCTAACATGGCTTCTGTTAAGAATGTAGGTAAGTTTATTTTATATTTTTAATGCAAGATACTTCTGTCACACTGTCTGCTGAGTCATTGGCAGTCTAAAGTTTACCTTAATGCTCTGCATTTTATATTTGAGGAGATCTTAGAAATTTACTTTGAAAATATTAGCAATCTCTTTTATATCTCTCCACATTTCACTGGAATTACAACACTACGTATTAAAATTCTGCTTTTAATTTTATAAATATATACTTTTTAATTCTTATGCATGAAATTCTTCCTTACCTTCCATACATGGCAAGTGGAAGATGCCATGTGTTCAATATTTCTATAAAGTGGACAAGCTAGAAATTGACCTAGATGTATGATCATATATTGTAAATGTATATGTAAAACCCATGTTTATACACACACAAATATGACTGTATGCATAATCTTCCATAGTCTCTGAGGATTAAAGTGATAAGATTTTTACCTTAGTTTTACTTTGTAAGTTATAGTTTTAAAATAATTTATAGGACAGCAGAATGCAATTTTATCTTATTTAGTATCAATTGTTAATCACTACCCGATGAATGTTGTTTGTAATGTATAACACATAACTTTCTTCTCAATATAATAATATCAGGAAATTTAAAATTTTATTCAATTTATATATATATTTTGAAAAGAGAACATAGAATTAGATATTAACGTATTTGTCTGTTCTTTTTATTTATATTATTTATTATTTTGTGTGATCCATGTATGTGAGTTAGTGCGGACATGTATGTTACATGGCACACATGTGGGGGTCAGAAGAAAGCCTTTGATTGCCTGTTTGCTCCTTCCACTGTGAGTTTCAGGGATTGAACTCAGGTCCCCAGGCTTGCATGGCAAGGACTTTTTCCTCTGAGCTGTCTTACTAGCCCGTTTAACATTTCTTTTCCCCAAAAGGGTTTTAATCTTTGTTTTGGCTAATACCAGCTCAGCTATCTCAGAGTGTGCTAAAGTGTCTAATGAGGTAGCATGACTGGTCACTAAAGGAATGCTTATGAAGTTGCTCAATATCTGACAGATGGTAAATGCCCAATGCATTAATGTTGTTATTTTATGACCATCTTAATGTGAATTGTTGGTTAACTGTACAATCTAGAATTATAATCCAAGTTCTACTAACATTTTTCTTCATTGCTGAACTGTAAAGCAAAAAAAAAAAAAATCCCCCAACTGTCTGCTATTGTGAATAACCTACATTTTCATATAACTATATATTTCAAAGCTTAAATCTACTATCTGATTTGACATGCAGCTTGAGGGTGTAGGCAGACTGCATGGGCTTCCTCTTTGACAGAAAGATATCAGAGATTCAGTGACTATGTGTTTCTTAGTTTCAGATCCTACTGTGGGTAGAGCTGGAATCTGATTTGAAACACGTGGACCCTTTACTAGAACTCTTGTACTGCATCTGTCATCTACTTCTGAAATGTGCCTTAATGTTTGTGTTACTCAACTTACTGCACTTCCTCTTTTCGCAAGAGTTCCACTGCACGAGTCCGTAATCTAAAATACTGCCATGAGGGAAATTTTAAAAGTCACGAGTTGCTGATTGAAAGCATATTATTCATCATAATCTCAGTGTGAAGAGAGGATTCGAAGCATACTACAATCTTTAAAAGAAAAGGATTTAAAATAATGAATAAAATAAAAAATATGTGGTTTTGAAAATATTAAAAATAACATAATTTTGAAGTAGATTTTTTTAAAATTCAAAATGTCAGAAGATTTGCTGTTTCTCTACTAATTAATGAGAAAAAAATAAACCCCTGGAAAAAAATGAACAATGATATTATCCTGAAGGTTCTAAGGTAAAAATAGTTATTAAACTTCAGAAAATAGGTTATACTTCATTCAAATATTATTGCAAAAGTAAAATCTAAACCTGACCAATGTACTTATTAAACCTGAAAGTTCAGCAAAAGCAGTGTGGTGAAGACAGGGCTCGTACACACTACTGAGCACTTGTGATGCTGTTCAGTGCTCTGGAGAGTTTATAGTGAGATAACCAGACATGCTTCCTCATGGGCCCACTTTCCTCACAGGTACAGACAGGACAAATTCTGGATCAATTGTACATCTTCTCCAATTATGATAAGTGAAAACTGTAGAGAAAGACAAAACTAAACAAAAAGAGTTACTTATCTCCTAATCAATGCTCAGTATCGGTTGGTAACATGGGGGAACACCGGGATTCAAACTTTCATGTGTCTTGGGTTCTCTCATAAAAAAAGAATTGTGCCTAATCTGACATAGTACATTGAATTTTCTATTCTGTTGTTCAAAGATGTTTGTTTACTACTAGAATGGATATCTATTAGGCAAGGTGTATTTCACATAAAACAACTGCTCAAAATATCATGGGTGAACGATATTTCAAAATGAAAACCTGGGGCTGGAGAGATGGTTCAGTGGTTAAGAGCACTGACTGCTCTTGCAGAGGTCCCGGGTTTGATTCCCAGCACTCACAAGGCGGCTATGAACCATCCTTAACTCCAGTTCCAGGGGAATCCGAAGCCCTCTTCTGACCTCCACGGCATTGCATAACACAGGTGAACTCACATACATGCAGGCAATACACTATTGCACGACACGGGTGAACTCACATACATGCAAGCAATACACTCATACACGTAAAATAAAAATAATAAAAATAAAAAAATACTAAAAAAATGAAAACCTAAAGCTGGTGTGATAACTCAGTAAGGTGCTTGCTTTGCAAGTATGAGCTCCATCCCAGAACCCTTGTCAAAAGCCCAGCTCTGGTGCATTGAATCCCAGTTCTGGGGAGGTTTATACAGGCAGCTATCTGGGGTTAACTGGCCAGCCAGTCTAGACTTGTCCGTGAGTCCCAACCCCCAGTGAAAGACATGTCTAATAAAAATAGGTAGGCAGCTGCTACAGAAGAATAACACCCAAGGCTATCTTCTGACATCAACATACATGTTGTGTACATGTACACATGCACATGTACATGCATATACATGAACACACATATGTAAATACCTCCCCAATCCCCCTAAATACATACAAAAAAGAAAACCCAACTTTTTATTTTCAGGTGGGCATTGAATTTTTTAGACATTGTTTAAATTGCATAGTTTCCTCTAAATCCATGCTGTAGATTGGCGTCAACCGTGTGCTTTCTGAGTCTTGAGAGGTGTTCTCCTCCAAGCTGCTATCTGTGGGACTCAAGGTTCACCAGTTGCCTCAGGGAATGAAAATTTGATTCTTTGGCCTGCTCAGTAGGAATGTGTGACATTTTCCTTTCCTGAAACTGTCAGGCAATTGGGATGGCATTAGGCTGCTGCTTAGAAAATAATCTGAGTGTGTTCAGTGACCATTTAGGTGTCTGTTTCCAGAAATACCTTTTCTAATAGTGTTCATATTTTCATTATAATTTAACTATCTTGCCAATATGGTTGAAATAAATACTTTAAAACTGAACTTATCTGCTCTCATGTTGGTAATCTATTTCTAAATTGTCATGTTAATATTTATATACATGAGAATTAGATCTAAGAAAACAGTACTTGTATTAAAAGTGATTAGTTGCATAACAGATTTCTACAAAATAGAAAATCTTAATAAAAATAAGATAGTCTTTATACTACATTTGAATTTCATACAATTAAAATAAAAATGTTATAGCCATAAGAGAATTGCCTTGAGGCCCAGAATCTTTGTAAATGATCTTTTTAAAATGAAAGTATAATTTATCTTGAAGTTGTACAAGATGGTTTCAGCTTTATCTTCCAGTAAGTGGTCTGAAATATAAAAATTTAAATTCTAATATACTTAAAGTATTTTTATGAACTTCTACTCATTTTAAAAATAAAGATATTGGTAAAATGACCCTGGAAAACCCAGCAATGCTTAAGGAGAAAAAGGACTTTGATAGTTCTTTCCACTTATTGTTAACTCCCTTTAATGAGAAAGCTCTAACATGCCCACATGAGACAGCATGACACACACAAGTTAAGGACAAGGACTGGCTTAAACATGAGCTCATCAGCTAAATTTATTCCTACCCGTGACTCTTTGGTGGCTTTATTTCAGGAGAGATTTACAGGAATTTTTCTAGTGAGTCTATGAGTCAATTTAACCTTCTGAAGTTTAGGCCAATCTGATCCTGGGATCTTTGTGAGATTTGAGTCTTAATCCTGAGAGTCTTGCTTCCCCCAAATCTAAGGCCTTCTGTTGTGATTAGGCATAAACATAATTACTTTCTTTAAAGGTGACTGATATATGTATGCTGTTTTACATTAAAATATCATGCTCAATAATAATTAGGTTGCATGTTTCTTATGAGTCCGTTTTAGGCTGAAGATATTTAAGTGATTTATTTTTTGGAGAAGAATTTTACTATACCCCTGAAACTTCAGCAAAACTAACCGAAAGAAAAAAATGATAAACAATTAAGACTTTCCAGCTAGAACAATAGGCCATTTCCTTTCTAAAGTCTGTTTTTCACCCTCGTTGAGTGACAGAGTTTGCAACTGTTTTTTAAATAATTAGTCACAAATACTTCAGGTTCATATTGTGATATGTAGAAAAGTACCAACATTTACATTTATGAGCTGAAATTTGCATGCTTAGTCATGACAGACAAGTGAGTATATGATCTTTCCCTAATTCACTCTTTATCCCCCAAGTTTCAATTCAGCATCTGGAATAAAGATTGTGTTCTAAAACAAAGTGTATTAGGGGTGGCTCATAAATCAGTTCCTTTTTAGTTCTCTGGCCTCTGACTTACTTATAAAGGAAAATGGCCAAGAGAAAAAAATAAAGACTGCTGAGTATCTCAGATATAGGTGAAGGGTCTTCACCAGAAATAGACCCCATGAGCCACATGAGTACAGTGATGTGTGGGGTTTTTTTGTCTTCTTTTTTTTCAGTTCCTCTGGCAACAAACCACAATTGGGATATGACACTGACATTTTTTTAAGCTCAGTTCAACTTTCACACACATAAGTAATGAAGATTTCATGGTAGGATTTTTCTGCAGAACACCATTGGGTTTTATTAAGAGTGTCTTCTCAATGTTTGGAGCAATTGCTGGAAGATCCCTTAGTCTTTTTAAAGGTAAGTCATATGATTTTTTTCCTTCAATTAAAAAAAAAATCAAGAAGTTTCTCTCTCTCTCAAATGATGGGATGTGATGCTACTTTATAAAAAACGTTTTATAACAGGAGCAGCAAAGAAGAAGCTTTATTTGAAAGTAGGCTTGATTTGAAAACAGTGATGTGTATTCCAATCTTCCTACATTTTATGCTTAAAATAGTATTAAAACTGTGTTCAGTGGCCAATGACATTTCACGTGTTGGTGCTTAGTGTCATTTTTGTCTGTCAACATTTGTATGCCAACATAAAAATGAAAAATAATAATCCAACTTGCCCAGTATGTACTTGCTAACTAATCGTTGTTTTTCAGACTCATTAGCTTACTGAATTTTCAATGCATAATTTTTGGTGAACTGGATTTTTCTCTACATGGTTAGATGCAATATATGTTTTACATATGTGCTTATCAAGGACTTTTCTTTAATAAAAAAGATATTTTAATTGCTAAGAGGACTGTTTATATCAAAATTAAGCAGTGATCTTAAATTTAATTAGTATAAATTAGTATAAAACTTAGTTGCATAGTAAAAATAAGAAAAAATGTCTTTGTAAATTTAGGAAGTTTGTTATAAATATTACTGGATTATTTCACTAAATCATAGTTTGGAGGTGTAAAGGACAATTATTTCTACAGAAATAACTAATTTAATTGTAAATAACTTTATAAAAACTATTAATGGCACAAATTCTTTACCAAAAATTTCTAAGAATTTTTGGAAAAAAAATCAAAGAAGACATTGAAAACTGTAAAGATTTTCAGGACTTTTAAGTCCTTTCCTATGTGATTTTAAGTTGGCAAAGTCTTTTTAAAACTATTAGAAAACATCGCTTCAAATATGTTTTACAAAGATGCCAAAATGAAATCTTAATTTTTTTATTATTTTGGGCACCCAGTAATCCTTAAGAACTTATAAGAAGAAAAATATGTAGAAATATTTTAGTGCACCACAATAATTATTGAACCATAACAATAACCCAAATATAGAGCCATCAGATAACAGAGTAGCGTAGGAAAAATATTAAAGTTACAATGGAACAGGTGTTTGTACTGAGTGCATTGAGATTTTGAAATTCACTTCAGAAGTTAGGGTTTCTGTTGTTAATTTTAGTGAACACTGTAGCCATTTTCATTCAGATAAATTTGAGTTTTGTATCTATTTTTCTTTTCCTTTTCTGAGGAATTGTAATTAGTTTCTTATTTAGTCACAAGATGCTTTAGTTCACTAACACTTTCAAGCATCAAGATCTGAGTAGTAGCTATGCTTCCATTTACCCAAAAACCTAAAATATATGCATTGTGTATATATACTATTTTATTGGGTTTTATAAATAATCATGTCATTTTTGTACAATATTCACATTTACTGGAATTTCCTAAATCATGTCATTGGGCAACATGAAATAATAGTGATACATTAAAGTTGATTAAAATAATATTGCATAATATTTCAAAATAATTGTATGTAAAATTTAGCTTCCTGTGATGGTATTTCTTATACATTATTTTATTTCATTAACATTTGCTAGATTACATTATTGTTATAAACTCAGAGCAAATTGAATTACAAATTCTTATATGAAGACCTAGTCTGAATATCTATTTCCTAACTTCAAGATCATGTTTTTAGTCTCTGTATACCTGGTAGTCTTATTTTCTAAAAGTTTAGTATACTGTAGTATACTATTAGTATAATTGTAATTATAGTGGAATGGGGGGGTGGAAAGAAAGATAATATTGTTCCTGTGTAGGGTTGATTGATTAAATATGGTTTCACCATTGGGATGGGTGTGCTGTCTCACTTCTGTTATAAAGTTGAAACAGACAGAGGCCAGGCCATTTTTCACTCTGTCCGTTGTTCATTTTGGGTTCGGCTCACAGGAGTCTCTGAGAATTTTATTTTAGGCATTAGAAAGCAGATTCTGCTTCCTAGGGGGCTCCATTAGATATTCTTGAAACTTGTCTCTCCTTTTAGAATCTTTCCTGACCTTAAATAAGTCAATATGCCTGACTGAATTTCAAATCTGTAGTAATCCCTGGACAAGTCTCTAAAAGAGAGGTTTGATATTTGAAGGATCTTGAGCATCATATGTGCAATAAAATGTCTTGCTTGTATTAGTTGAAGTTTTATAATATAAACATAAATATAGTTAAGTGATTATTTTATATTACAGATATCTGTACATTTTTCTGCTATAAATGTTTGCCTACATCTAGTCTATTAGGATGCAAATGGACAAATCAGTAACATTAAGGATTCTGGTGACTTCAATAAAAAAACTGGTTGGAGCTCGCCTTATCCAGATACCCTTTTTTTTTCTGCAGAGCTCTTGAATTATATGAGCATAGCTCAGATCTCTGTGTGGTGTGGCTGAGTGAAGGAGGCCACATCTCTTGCTCTTCTTCTACCATATAACTCTTCTTTGCACAGCCCTTTAACCCTGGGATTGAACATAAAATTTGTCTTGAGCATTCTGTCTCTAATCATAAATTCATGAAAGTTGACCTTTCTGCAAGATGAAATATAACCACATTTTAATAGCTAATTTGAATCCTTATCAGCTAGCTTGGATTTGAATGTGTGTGTTAGGTCTAGACAACCATGCCTTTGTAAACAGTCACAGACATGGTGTGTGTATGTGTGTGGGGGTGAAGGTGTGAAAGAAGTTAATACATTTTTAAAACTTCTAGACTCATATTCAACCTGTTATTGAATTAATCACTTTTAATCATCCATCCATAATTGGGTCTCAATGGGTAAATGCTGTATTTTTTTAATTTATTATTTTTATTTTATGTGTATGCATGTATTGCCTGCATGTAGGTAAGTGCACCCGTGTAGTGCAATGACCGCAGAGGTTAGAAGAGGCTGTCAGATCCCTGGAACTGGCGTTACAGACAGTTGTTAGCTGCCATGTGGGTACTGGGATTTGAACCCGAGTCTTCTGCAAGAACATTCAGTGTTCTTAACCGCTAAGCCATCTCTCCAGCCTCAAATGCTCTATTTTTTAAAAAATATTTTATTTACTAATTTTATTTTCTGTGTATGAGTATACTGCCTCCATATGTGTAAGTGCACCTGTGACGAGCAATGCTCACTGAGGTCAGAAGTGGGTGTCGGATCCCCTGGAACTGGAGTTACAGATGTTTGTTAGCTGCCATGTGGTGCTGGGAATCAAACCCAAGTCCTCTGGAAGAACAGTCAGTGCTCTTAACTACTGAGCCATCTCTCCAGCCACAGATGCTTTATAGTTTAGGCGAGAAAGATTCTATATCTCACCCCATTCCCCCTGCGCCCCCTCCAAATGACAGTGTTTGTATAATGAGAAACAGATGCATTCGGTCTGGTTCCTCTCACAAGGAAAAAAATAATAAAGCTGGAAGGAGGTTTACAGATAGAATAGAAATTTTAGAAATCAATAGATTAATTTAAAAAAAAAAAGAAAGAAAAAAACTTACTATCCCAGTCCTGTCACTCATTTCTGGTGTGAGGACCCTGAAAATCTGAAACAATTTCACATTTCATTGTTCACATCCCAGCTAGTGTTACCTCTGGGCCATGCCTTTTCTGGGTGGAGTTTCCCAGGGAACACAGCTTGAAGCACACATGGGAATAATTAGAGTTTCTCTGGGGGATTTTCTCTAATATTTGGCCTATTTGCCAGAGAGAACGCTGATGGCTGAGCCTATTGCTCAGCCTCTCAATTTCCCCTAGGTTCTCTATGTAGTGGAAGGGCACTATGCTTCGAAATCCTTGATAAAGGCACTCTGTCAATCCGACAGTAAGGGGAAATGAGAGAAAAAGTCCGCTTCTGTTCCTTCTTTTAAAGACATCTTGATAGATACAGAATCCACTCACAAATCTGCAAAAGAAATCTACATACCTTTTCTAAGTTGGATAGGAGGGAGCAGCTAGTCCATCTATAGAATCAATAAAGGTACGTAATTAGTGACATCTTGAAGCATACCTCCTTTATTTCCCTTCCTTTTTTACATTATTAAAAGCAGGTCTCTGTTTCTGATTATTCTTTGCCTTCTAAATTTCACTATTTTAAGCTGGAAGTAAATTACTATAAATCAAAACTCTATAAAGGACAAGTAACATTTAAATTTTAATCTAAAATTAAAAACAAAATCATATATTTAATATTGAACGGTAGTATTATTAAGAAAATGGAATACAGTAAGAACAAAATTTTGTATGGTTTAATAACTAAAATGTATAGATAGTTGGTGAGAAACTTTAACTTCCCTAAAGATAAATAAGAATGGTAAAGCTGTGTGTGCTGGGAAATCTGAGCATTTACATACTCAAGGTATTACACCTTATGTAATATCTGTGGTCATCCTCTGCCTCAGATCAATTAAATTAATTCTGTTTTATAGTAGGTACCAAGTGGGAGAAAGTATGATTGTGCTATCAATGTTTTGTTACTCATGTTGTCAAGACACTTAGGATAAATGAAACCAAGCAATGTCAAATATCTGTCCTTTTTAAGGAGAAACCCAGAAAATGTATTATTATACTAATGTAATAATAGTCAATCATCAGAAAATTAAAGTAGGAGACATGCTTAATCTCTTTCACTTTTTTGAATATCAGTACATGTTGAATTATGTTGCATTAATATTAGAATTAAGGCTATTTAACCTTATCATACAGCCAAATATATTCATTCACACTTCAGTTTTCTAAGGAACCTGATTGAACAGCAGTGGGATGTTTGTATTGTCTCATTTCAGTTTTAAAGATGAAGCAGACAGAACCTAGATCACGCTAAGTCTGTCCACTCTTTACTATATCAGGTCTCAGAGTCCACAGAAATCATAAGCATTGGTTTTCAGGCATTGGAGGGCAGGCTTTGCTTCTTACATGGTGCAGTAGATCCTGTTGAAACTCACTGTCTCTTATCGAAACTCTTTCCTGTAGTGCTCCGAGATACTTGGATAAGGAAGAATGATTCTGAAAATGACAGTCACAACTTACTGTGACATAGAATTTGTTTGCATATCTATTTTAGAAGAAATGTAATTGTGATTTTAAAATCATTCTTTACCTGTCAGAGTTGGAAACTATATTACTGAATGAATAAATATTCACTCATATTATTAATTATTATTATGTATTTGTATAGGTCAGAGAACTACTCATGGGAATCAATTTTCTTTTCCAACTTTTGAGTTCCAGGGATGGAGCAATCTTGTCGTGCTTGTCAGCAAGTGCCTCTACCCACTGAGCAATACTAGCCCAGAATGAGTAATTTTAATGATGTTTATATGGGACATAAAATAATTTTCCAAAAGAATAACATAATATTTTACCTAGATTAACTTTGTATTCACAAAACTGCTGTTGGATACAGGATTTCTTATCTCATTTTTAAGCAAGTGAGCATACAGAGTCCTCCTTTCCTGAATACCTTCTCTTGACCTTTGCTGGAGTGTTAGGCAGGTGTGCAGTCTATTAGGAGCAAAGGTCCTTACCACTGCTGAGTAATCACAGTCGCTGTGCCTTCTGGTCTTTCAAAGAACAATTAGGTGAACAACTGGTTCAGCTACTTACAATAAATTTGCTGATTTCAACTTAGATTCACCTGACACATGAAGAATTTGATGTAGAAAGAGATTAAGTAGTTTGCTCATTTTCACCTGGAAAGAGAGTAACAAGGCAGAGTTTATTTAATCACCAATCTCTTATCTCAACTATATTAGCCAATTCTTCTATTTTGATTGGCGCCTTAATCATATAACTCATAGACATGACTCTTGGTTGACAACAAACAGAATGCCAAAATGTTATAGCCTGCTTCAGTGTTAAGTAGATTGCTACTGTTGCAATTTCTGTGGTTGCCTGAAAGACTGTTTCAAGGAAAGTTTCAAGTGCTTTGTTCTTGCATGCAGGGAAATCCCAAGGGGTAACAAGGAGCAAAGAAAATTGCCAAGAAAGACATTACCCCATCAGGGCTCCTCCATTTAGGGGTAAAAGGTTTATTGTCACACAGTATATAGAAAAGAATATTCTCTGTGTGCCCCTTTCTTGTATTAATTCTGTTGGTGCTGTGTTTTTCTTGGGCATGTGCATTTTGAGGTGAAACACAGTTGTTTACAAGCTGCAAACCACATGCCAACTGCACTTCAAGAACAGGCCAAACTCCATCATAAAAATGGCCTGTAATCAAAGTAATCCAGTGAATGTGTCTTCAAATATTGATCATAAGTGGTAGTTTTATTAATTTGTTGCAGCAGTATCCACTCATTCCATAAATTGTTTTTTAATCAAATTTTTATGTAATAACCTCTATGTAATACTATAAGATGATATCATAAAGAAGACTGACTTGAAGTACATAGTACATAGGACATACTACCTTATTTTAATAGAATTGGCATGAATCCCTACATAGTAAATAGTATTACAATTGCATATGTTGAAGAATCTTTGAGAATGACAAAAACAGCCTTTTATGATGTATATATAATATATTCAAATTTTATCCCCAAATTATTAACTAACTAAATTAGAAACAAATACATTTCAGTCATGAACACCAAAGACTGGCAAATGGAATTTTCTTCATCACTTATATGGATATTAAAGAATCTCCTAGTATTGATTTTCTGAGAATTTGATTCCCTTATGCATTCTTGATTTGACAGGTAACTTACAAATTATATGAAGTATTGATTCTTTCTGAATCTCCCTAATTATTTCTTGCAAAACACCTAGCTTGCTGTTTGTTCAGGAATAAGGAATACTGCCCTTGCCATAATGGTTTATTAGAGAAGCTATCAACCAAGCCACATTCAGCCTGTTTCTGGCATGAATAGAGGGTTGTGGTTGGGTAGAGAAGCTAGGCAGGGCTGAAGATGCCAGGATGCATGCTCGACCGTGGTGAGGACATTGGGGAGTGAGAATATGCAACCAAGCTCTCCTTAGATAAGACTGTAGTGTCAATCACCCATGTGAAGAAACCTGAAAATGCAAGAATTTTGAAGAAACACTCTCACTCTCTCCTACACTGTTTCTGCCTCAAAAATTTAGGAGCAACAGGAGAGAAAAGGCCCTCAAAATTCAGTTTGATAAAACAAAACAAATAGTATGTGTTTATTGATAGCTGACAAAATAGTCTGTTTCTGTGGCATGTTTACTTTGTACTTTGATCTTTTTGAACTGATATTAAATCTTCTGTTTTATGATCTCTTTCTAGTGGTAGAACCAGGCCACACAGAAAACATTGTAATCATAACTGGGAGTTTGTGAGAAACAGGTGCAACACTTTGATTCATCTCCTGCACGAGAAAAATGGGCTGTGATCGGAATTGTGGCCTCATCGCGGGTGCTGTCATTGGTGCCGTCCTGGCTGTTTTTGGAGGTATTTTAATGCCTGTTGGAGACATGCTTATTCAGAAGACAATTAAAAAGGTACAAGTGCTCTAGATTCTATGTTCTGCCATTAGGTTTATCCTACCTTGTCTCTTTTGTTTGTTTTTTGTTTTATTTTAGCTGCTTATGTTTCATGATACATGGTAATTTTGTGCTTTGAATAGAAAGGTGATTATAAATCACTGCAATACCTCATAATGATCTATGTGTGAGATGTTACAGTATTGAACCTGAAGGCATTCTCACAATTATCATGTAAATTTGACATGAGTACCATGCTATTTTAAATATATCAAATTTGATAACACTTTGGCTATACTTTTGTAGTTTAGTAGAAATAATTGACTTTAAATATATTTGAAGAGTCGGGCATGGTGGCACACACCTGTAGTCCCAGCACTTGGGAGGCAGAGGCAGGAGGATCTCTGTGAATTCAAGCTCAGCCTGGTCTACATAGTGAATTCCAAGACAGCTGGGGCTACAGGGAGACCCTGCTTCAAAAAGATGTCCTTGAAGGCCTAATGTTCTTGCCTCTGCCTCCCAAGTGCTAGGATTCTGTGATCATATCCCACTGGCCTTATTTTTAGTGTGATCAAGTATCTGTGGATAAATCAGGTTTTTCTGGACGTTGAAGGAACTGGTGAGTTTTCTGATTTGAGCATTACATTAAGGGCCTATTTAGTAGTAATGTATTTGTAATGGTGACCAGTAGCATGGATTTTATAGAATGCATGTCAATATATATCAACAAATTGTCTGTAGTTTTAATTTAAATTAAAATGACTTAATAGATTTGCACAAAACTCTGGTTCATTCTAATTATCCTCACAGTCACTAGAAATTTTATAGCAAATGGTAGAATAAAGGGAAACTATCTGCTGTAGTCCTAAAGTCTAGTTGGAATATTCTTAGGGCTTCAGGAGTTTGGAAAGAGAGGTTACACAAGAAAAAATTCACTTAGGATTTCACAAGAAATAAAGCTACTCAGGACAAAGTGAAGTGAAAAGAGGGGACAACCGTGTACCTAAGGGTTTCTGCGCCGCACAGGGCCATCTGCTAATTTAACAAACAACTAATGACGGCCCAAAGCAGCATGTAAGCATACTGGCTTCAACTCTCAGACTGGTCTAGAGCCTAATAACTTGGTCAGAGGGTTAGTATGCACCACAGAAGAGACCAGAGAAATGACTGAATTTGCCACTGTGGTTTGGGCCCTGAAATTACGCTGAAATTTCTATCATTGCTTAAACCTTTATTCTCTTGTCCATTTGTCCAAGATTGGCAATCTGCTTTTCTAGAGATATAAGCAAATACCATTTTCACTCACTGGAGTATTGCTTTCGGACATTAATAAAGAATTAATTTCAAATCTAGTTATTCATGACTACATGTTACTACTTTCTGATTTTACTATCTTTAGTTGAAAATGCTAAAAATATTTAAACTGAAATACTCTCACTGAATCATTATAGCTGCCTGTAGAGTCTTTAAGATAATATCTATATTTGCATATTATATTTGCTCAATTCTCATACAGCCACCACTAATGAATTGAATGTCTTTGGCCTCAGGCACTTAAGGAAAATGTGGTATATTGTGTAACACATAGATGAAACACTGTGTTGTACATGCTATATAAAATGTCTAAAAATTATAAATCTTATTTAATTGAATGATCACAAGATCACATCTTCCCCAGAATTTCCCATTTTCTTGGTAGTGCTTTAGATGTAGTCTCATATAGAAAGGCATGGGAGGGTGAGGTGAGGCTTGCCTAACAGTGAGAGATTAAGAGCTATTACTCCAACCACTTCCTGCTTTGACTTTTGTGAGTCTTACCTGGAGCATCTGTTGTCTATGTTAACATACAGATCATAATTTGTCTTTTGTAATAGTCTTTGGAATAGAATGTCATAATCTCTCAGCTACAGAATTTAGACTATTTTTTGTACAGTATCATGATTAACAACTGAGTATTGATCAGTAATTTTTTACATTATGTAACAAAATTCATACTTATAACCCAAGAGCATTTGAAGAGCATAAATTAGACTCAATAGGCCTCTACAAATCAACAGTAATAGAGTGCATGGGCGTGGAGATGGGGAAGGGTTCTGAATATCATCAAAATAGATTGTATGATAGTCTCAAAGAATCAAGAAAAATATTTTTTGACAGGGTCTCCCTAGTCCTATCTCACCTGGAACTCACTATGTGGACCAGCCTGGCCTTGATCTCACAGAGCTGGGATTAAAGGCATGTGCCAACCATGCCTGGAATAAGAAAAAATATTTTTGATAATAATACATTGTGATTAAAAATTATTGATTATCAATTGTCTTGGGAGGCATGTGAGTGTTAAAATCCATTTAAAATTAAATCTTTAATATGTATCTATAAGCTTATAATGAGAAATCATGAAAGTTTTAGAGATCAAAGTATGATTTTTTTAGAACAGCTAATTGGGAGTAAAATGAAATTTTTCTCAGTCAGGAGATGTATAAAATAGAGTAAAAAAAGAATAATTTTAGAGTATTCATGAAAATTCAGGAAGATGTGGTTAAATTTAGCACTTGCTGTTAAAGCAGTATAGAATTTGGAAATCTCATAAAAGAATAGCATTAAAGGTGTCAAAGGACTAACAGCAGAGTAAAAGCTATGGAAGTGCAACTAAAAGCAAAGAGGAGGGAAAAAGGCCGAGTGTACGGCAGGAATACGAGAATAACAAGAAAGTGGATTGGGAAAGCATCATGGGGTGAGATGACAGAAGTTTTAACACAAGGCACATGAAAAGCTAATTGGTAATGTATTAAAAATAGTAATTGGTACACTGTTTTCAGTAAGTTATATTAATACCTGCATTTGGAGATTGGTTATCATCAAACGGGAAATGTTTAGTGGTATTAATAAGAAGTAACTTTCATTTATTCTTCACAAATTATGATGTGAAGGTATTTGATCCATTTTATCATCATAAGACCTTAAATTAACTTGCCATCTCAACTAACCAATAGGATGAAGGGTCAGGTTACAAACAGCGCATCTGAAGGTAGAATGGTTTAGTGATCACCGTGTACACTGTGATTGCACAATGGAGAGGGTTGGGAAGTAAGGAAACTAAATGCATCAAAAGAATAGGCTTGTGAGACATAAGTAAAGAGGGGAATTTTTAGTCTCCATTAGAAAGACCTTGGCATCACTGACACATTATATAACAAAAGGCCTAATGTGGTGAAGCCTTACAAAGACTGATGGGTGGGTAGATGCAGTAGAGTTTTAGCTAGAGGGACTAAGGCAGGAGAGAAGAGTAAACATAACACAAAAGAAGATGTTGAGCTGAGTAGCTGATGGAAATATATTCTGAAGAAGTGAAAGACACAAAGTTCTGTAGGCGACTTGATGTAAACATCAGTCTGGTTTCAAAGGCCAGAGCTCAGATAGATTTGATGATGCTGAGAGATTCCAGATAACACTAAACAAACATGCTACTTCTAGAGAGGTTGAAAGTCCAAAGAAAAGATCAGGATTTCCACAAGGATCAGTACATAGCTAGAGGCAAGAAGAAAGGAGCAGGAATAGAAAAGAAGTTGGTTTATAAGAAGAAAAAGAAACAAAAGACTATAATTTGTAGAAGTTAGTAGGAAAGCAAATATCAAAATAGAATGAAATGTTTTCCGGACTGATGAACATTAAGGAAATAATTGTTAGAGGCCTGGGGAGGTAGCTCAGTCAGTAAAGTGACTACCATACAGACGTGAGAACCTGGGTTTGACACTCAGAACCCTAAAAAGCTGGATCTAGTGGCTTGCAGGTATAATCCCAGTAATGAGGAGGGAGAGACTGATGAATCGGTTGGACTTGGTAGCTAGCCTAACCTAATCCATGAAGCCAAGGCTAGTAAGAGACTCTGTCTCCAAAAGGAATGTGGAGTAGAAGCTCCTTAAACATAATGCTCAAGATTGAACTGTGATTCCACATGCAATTGCATGGTGTTGCACTGTATACACACACAAACACACACACACACACACACACGCATGTACACACACACACCAAACAGAGAGAGGAAGAGGGAGGGAGGGAGGGGGAGAGAGAGAGAGAGAGAGAGAGAGAGAGAGAGAGATAATGATGTGAATATGGTCAGCAATAATTCTGAAACAAACAGGGCAGTAAATAGATGACTTTCCCTTTTTTGAAATGAATTATCTATATTAATCTTTTAAAAGATAATGGGCAGCATAGAATGAGAGTCAAAAATGAGGAAATACAAAACCAAGTAGGGGCTAGAATGGGTTACACAGGACTGCTAAACAATAGTTTATGCCATACACTGCTATGTGTCTTCACCCACATATTGAAGACCTGTCATCAGAATCTTTGCAAAGGACAGTGTCTGAGGTACATTCAAGGCTAAAGGTCACTTTATTCTCAGATTTTTATATAAATGTGCTTCCCATGTCAAATATAGTTGTTTAAATAAGCTAAGGGGCTGGTGCTCACCTTAGTTGCAGAATACATGGTTAACATGAGTGTGACCTGGTCTCCACTGTTAACACCAAAGTAAAAGGAAAGCTAAGTGTTTCTTTAATACAAGGTTCTTCCATTTTCAGTTTTCAGAACTATTTATAAAATGATGCTTGTAGGCTGGGAAGATGGTTCAGTGGGTAAAGTCACCAGCTACTAAGTTTGATGACCTGAATTCAATCCCCAGGACTCACATCATGGAAGGAGAAAAGTGACTTTTGCAAGTTGTTCCCTGACCTCCACACACACCATGGTACATGACATGTGTACATGTGCGCACACATGTATACACAAATAAGTAAAATATGAGAAAAATGATTCTGGGATGCATGTCTTTGGCATATAGTAAGATTCAAAACTCTGTTGTGTCTTACCTTGTACCAAGCAATATTCAGAGTGCTGCTGTTTTCCAAGAAGAAGTATTTGGAAACTGGTAAATTATTTTTATTTACCATTGAAATTAATTGGTTATTATTTTGTTTCATTTACTAATAGAAAATTCATAAAGTTATTGC